AAAACCCCAAAACCCCAAAACCCCTCAATAAAATATGTTGATTATGTTAGACAAATTATTATTTAAGATTATATTAATAAAATAACATGACATCTGAGGAGGATTTAGACAATATTGAAAAGAATTTAGTTACAGAAAAGTGGATTCAGATTATCTTCCTTGTCCTTTTTGGCTTTGTTTTCATAATCCTAAATATTTCATCCATTAAAACCCTAAGAAAGAGGCAGAATCGGACAATACAAAACTTTTTTACGATATTTTTCATTTGGCTTACGATTTTCGGTATGCATTTACTTAATTTCGATATTTAGTTCTATCCAGATATATATATAAAGCATTTGTACTTATGTTTAAATTTAGACAGAATTGTGTGCTTGATTGTTGCATTGGTTGGTGAAATGATTAAGAGTTACAGTGCATCAACCTTAAAGGAAATGGAATACTTTTTTTATTATGAAATACCATTCAATTTCATTATAACTGGACTTATTGTCCAATTTCATCAATGGTAAGTTACTTTAAACTACAGCCTACTGTTAAGAAATGATATGTATTCGACACTATTTTTCCTTAATAATATTTCAAAAGTCACTAATTCCATTTGTAGGTTCTCATTTGCAATTTTCATAAAGCATGCATTCAATCCTGACAAACTGACAGATTTAAAACTGAAAATCAAACTGTCTCTTTTGATATCAATAATAATTTCTTTGTCTTGTTTGATTCTGTAATTCACTGCTGTGGTACTCGAAAACACAATTGAAAATGCTTATGACTCTCCATTTAAATAGTAATAATCATCTCAAATAAATGATTTCAATCATTATAGAATTATGGATTGGGTTATGATAGTTCTCTACACAGTAGTCACTTTTTCATTTGTTCCAATGCTCTTAGGCCTGATATGCAAAATAAAAAGAAATTTCAATCAAGTCTACAAAAAGATCAAATGGAAGTATCTATTGCTCTTAGGACTCTTTATGGTGTTCCTCTTTTTTAGAATCTATTTGTATTTGGATTTGAAAGAACTTAATGGATCTTTAATGATAACAACCATGTACACACCTATTCCATTTTACATTTCTGAGATACTAATGAGTATGTTTTTGAGCTACATTTTATTCAATGTGAATGAAAATGAAAGTGGAACTGAGAATAGAAACTCTGACTCACAAAACATCAGTAATATTATCCTGTACAGTGAAAATGGAAATAATCAGCCCTTTTAATAAAATGGGTAGTTTTTATTTAAGGCAGCAGACTAAGCAAATGGAAATAAAATTCATTTACAATATGATGAATTATCAACAGGATTACCTGAGGACAAAAGTAAAAGAGGCAACTCAGTAGAGAGCTACATTCAAGAGAGAAATGCCACCTAGAATTACTTGCGTAATACTGTTAAAAGTACAATCGCACAATAGCATAAATATTCTGGGACAACGACTCTGAGAGCTTTAAAAGATTCAGAATTATCGATGGGAAGTTTTGACTAACCTTAAACTATAGAGGAAGATGATGACGAGGCACTCTCTGAGTAAAGGCTTTCTTAGGATATGTATCCTACATAGTCTATTGGATCTCTTGAGGATAGAAATTTAAGATACACTATGACTAATTTTATGAATCCCAATCACACTGAGGCAAGTAATGCTTACAGGGGAGAAAGTGCAGGAAATAATCCATTCAAGACTCCTATATATAGTCCTAAGAGCATGCATAAACAATACCAAGAAGAGGACATCTCTATGAAGCATAATAGGAGTATTTTAAGTAAACTAGGGAGTGTTTTTCGGAAGAAGACTAAGGCCTAAACTCTTTCAAATGGAGGTGATAATTGCAGTCTTAACGCAGATATTTAACCTATGCTTAGTACGAATCATAACCTTCAAACTCAATCGAAATGATATAATAATCAAACTAATATCTTAATTTAATATGAATTATTATGATAGTAATTTATATCATTTTTTTAATTCTTGCCAAATTTGATTTCCGGGGTTTTGGGGTTTTGGGGTTTTGGGG